CGCAGAATTAGGGGGCATATGATTGAGGTGTATAAATGGAAGACAGGAATAAATAAAGGGGATGTAAATAGTGTGCTGAAAATATCTAGCCTAGACAGGACTCGCAGCAATGGTTTTAAGTTGGAAAAATTCAGATTCAGGAAGGATATAGAAAAGCACTGGTTTGGTAATAGAGTTGTGGATGAGTGGAACAAACTCCCAAGTACAGTTATAGAGGCCAGAACGTTGTGTAGCTTTAAAAATAGGTTGGATAAATACATGAGTGGATCTGGGTGGGTGTGAATTGGACCTGATAGCTTGTGCTACCAGGTCGGTTGCCGTGTTCCTCCCTTAAGTAAATGTGACCTGACCTGACTAGGTTGGGTGCATTGGCTTAAGCCGGTAGGAGACTTGGACCTGCCTCGCATGGGCCAGTAGGCCTGCTGCAGTGTTCCTTCGTTCTTATGTTCTTAAGTGCGACACGAGAGAGAGGGGTGGGTTGATTGCATTTTCTTGGACTGCAAGAAGGCCTTCGACACAGTTTCACACAAGCAACTAGTGCAGAAACTAGAGGATCAGGCGCGTATAACAGGAAGGGCACTGCAATGGATCAGAGAATACCTGGCAGGGAGGCAACAACGAGTCATGGTACGTGATGAGGTATCACAGTGGGCACCTGTGACGAACGGGGTCCGACAGGGGTCAGTCCTAGGACCAGTGCTATTTCTGGTATATGTGCTGGTTTAGGGTTGCTTGGTAACAGGTACAGAAGTTTCTTCCCTTCTCTAGTGCGTTTGTCTGGTTTTGTATAGAAAATCTTTGGTGAGCGTCTCCCACTGTTGAGTGGGAGTTTACACTATACCCTGTAGAGGCTGTGACAAGTTTACGTAGGTGAAACAGCAAGAAACCTCGACACCCACCTCAATGAGCACATTTACGCATGTAGGAACGATAACTTGAACAACGCCTATGTACAACATCGAAATTCCACCAGTCATCTCATGAAATTCAGGGTCGCCCAATTAGTGATCAAAGAAACTAATTTCCGCAGATGCAAGTGCCTCGAATCAGCACTGATCGCTGTTTCGAATACAATTAAACAAAACAACGGCAGCTTCACCATCTCTGAAGTCTTAGCAAGAATCCTCCTGAAAACAGTAAACCCTGCCATCACATAGTCTCTCCTGTTATACTACACAAAGCACATTACAGAGAGTGAAAACTGAAACAGGCTGCCTCTATCCAGTCTATATTTGTCCAACCTATTTTTATGTTACCCAAGTAATAGCTTTTATATCCTTTTACTCATGTACGAATTAATTGCTCTACCATATTGTATTACTACTACTACTACTACAACTTTTGTCACTACTACTACTATTACTACTACTACTACTACTACTACTACTACTTCCACTAGTATTGCACCTGACTCTGAGCCTATATATACCCTCTGTGTCCATGTATTGTCAGTAATGGCTTGTGCAAGAAAGGTATAAAATACCGACAATATGAAAGTTAAGACACATGTGCAACATCTGGAGCCTTTGCTCCAGATTCTCCTCCACCACGATGCTGTCAACACTAACTCCAAGGCTGAGGGACTGATTACCTCATCTTTTGTATATAGTTCTACTGTCTTCCAATTATGTCCTAGAATTTGTATTGATAAAGCCACTGGATGGCGAAACGTCTACAATAAAGATATCCAGATGTTGCACATGTGTCTTAACTGTAATGGCTTGATAAAACTCCTGGAAAGCGAAACGTTGCCACAATAAAATGTCACAATAGTTGCACTTGTGTCCTTTTACTTTACATACGTGATAGTTGTTGACAAGAGGGAACGACATGAACCTGAGTCGTTAAAAAAAGGGAATGATATGATCCTCAGTCGTTAGCAAGAGGGAATAACATGAACCTGAGTCGTTAACAAGAGCTAATGAAATGAACGTGAGTCGTTAACAAGAGAGAAAGACATGAACCTGAGTCGTTAATAAGAGGGAATGACATGAACGTGAGTCGTTAACAGGAGGGAATAACATGAACCTCAGACATTAAACTAAGATAAGTCGTAATTTACAACCGTCGTAAGAGATCCTAATGTTGTAGCCTCCGTGGCTGCTTGGACCAGTTTTGGGGCAGTTCCAAGCATGGCCCAAGGTTCAAGTTCCCATCCATCCTTCAGCGTATTCAAGGGGAGTATATGATCCCGACCTACAAAATACTTCGTGCCATGATACAGCATAACCAGGAATGAACACTTTACCAGGAGTGCAATTATTATAATCATGGGGGAGCGCTAAACCCGTAGTCAAGAGTGCAATAAAAGGGAAAAAAATATATATATATAGAGGGCTCAATTGGCAATTAAGCGCCTTAATTATCCCCAAGGGTTATTAAGGAAATATTCCCCCAAGAACATTATAGAGGTGAAATGAGCTGGGTGATGACCTAGTGGAAGGGAGAGCCATAGAAAGGGTGAAGAAAGTAGGTTCGGTGAGCTGTTTTACATCAGTCGGTGGAAATTTAGGTGAGACCGCGTAAGGGATCACCAACAGCTCACCGAGTTACAGTAATTATTGACTTATTGACTGATAATAGCAGCCAGCAGCGTGGTGTGTGTGTGTGTGTGTGTGTGTGGCCAGGGAGGAAATTAAGTTTGGTCTCCACCCAGAGAGGAGTCGTGGGACTATCTATCTTCCTTTTTTTTTATATTTCCAACTTTGTTTAAAAAACAGGGGGGTGGGGGTGCGCAATGTAAGGTTGGGGTGAGGTTCAGTGGGTTGGAAACATTGAGGTACTACTGGCGGTAATGTTGACGAACCGGTAATTATCCTCTATTGCTGCGTTTGTGAAAGGTGCTTAAGAAAATTAATGTTTTAGAGAATTGTTTCCATTTGGAGTGTGTGTATGTGTGTGTGTGTGTGTGTGTGTGTGTGTGTGTGTATGTGTGTGTGTGTGTGTGTGTGTGTGTGTGTGTGTGTGTGGTGTGTGTGTGTGTGTGTGTGTGTTTTGTGTGTGTGTGTGTGTGTGTGTGTTGCTCAGTTAAGTGTTAGAGACGTCTTGGTCCTTACGCACAAGGAATCTCTCGCACCTCGCCCTAGGCCAGCGAGATGCTCGCCAGTCTGAGAGATAATTGGCTTTGGTACCTAGGTTATCCAAGAGAGAGAGAGAGAGAGAGAGAGAGAGAGAGAGAGAGAAGGGGAACTTCAACTGATTATTTTAATGCTAAATCACACCATCCACTCACAACTAACTCATATTCCAGACTACACAACTGTCGACGTTCCGCTCTTGATAATGGTCCTGGGCAAAACGAAACGTCGACAAGAGATTCCACTGGCGGGTTATGTGTCAAAGAAATAAATTCACACCAAACACACACATACACACACACACATGCAAAACAACCAGTGTGAGTATATATTATATATATACATATATATATATATATATATATATATTATATATATATATATATATATATATTATATATTATATATATATATATATATATATATATATATATGTCGTGCGAATAGGCAGAACTTGCGATCTTGGCTTAATTAGCAACGCTCATCTTGCATATAGGACAAGCGAAAATTTATGTATGCAATAATTTCGCCAAAATCATTCTGAACCTAACGAAAAAAATACATTTCACTGTGTTTGTTTAGTATTAAATTATTGTAAACAAATCTAAAATATATTTAGTTGGGTTAGGCTAAAAGAAATTGTTCTTGTTATAATAAGGTTAGGTAAGTTTTCTAAGATTATTTTGGAGCAAAATTAAAAATTTTAACATTAGCATTAATGAAAAAGATATATCTTTAAACGTATAAGAGAAAATTTTAGAAAGGTCTTAATTTTAAATGAGTTCTTACTAATTGACCAGTTTTACATATTCGGCACGACATATATATATATATATATATATATATATATATATATATATATATATATATATATATATATATATATATATATATATATATATATATATATATATTGGTGGGCATAAATATATACACTATAAAATATATACCTCTCAGTGCATACACACTGAGAGGTATACACCTTAAATTCCCCTCCCCCCATTTTGTTTTTAAAAGGGTTAAAGTATTCTTCAGCGGTGGTTACCAGGCTACGTTCAGCCTTAATGACTCTCGTGTAGCCAATAACCTTTAACTCTCCATTACCCACTAACCATGGTGGCCACATTAGGCCATTACAAGTTCCATTTGTTGTGGAAAAGATTTACTGAGGAAAAAAAAAGATGCCTTTTGTTAAGAGATTTAACTACAAGTGACTTTTATAAAGCCTTTGATTAAGTCTTTTGTAGATTAAATAAGACTTACAAAAACCATGAAGTATTTGCCAAGCCTTTCAAAAAAAAAATTAAAGTGAAAGTAAGCTTACAAGACAGATAAAAGCTCTAAAAAAAGCTTTTTTGGTCAAACTAAAACTTTTTCAGGCTTTTATTTCTATGCTAAGTCTAATGCTATGCTAAGTCTAATGTTATGTTAAGACTTTCAATATTTTTCATATTTTTTCACTTAATAATCTATTTCTTGGTTTGTATGAAAGTTAGTTAGGATATTCTTAGGCGATTTGTTTGTTGTTCTGTTTTTGTTAGTGTTTGCGTGTGTGTGTGTGTTTGTGTTAGTTGGTGTTGTGTTGTGTGTTTGTAGTGAGTGTGAGTGGTATGATTGGCTTAGGACGATTGCTGGCTGTCTGTTGGCTGGTTGCTATGTGTCTGTGGCTGACTGTGTGGCTGTTGCTGGTGGCTGCCGTTGATTGACTAGCTGGTTGAGTGATGTTGGTTGACGACTGCTGCTGGCTGGTTGGTGGTGGTGCTGTGCTGACTGGCTGATGCTGATGACTGCCTGACTGATGGCTGGCTGACTGACTGACTGACTGACTGATGACTGTGACTGACTGACTGACTGATGACTGACTGTCTGACTGACTGGCTGGCTCGCCCTGCCTATTCTTACCATTATCCGCCTTCCTTTCCACCTGTTTGCTCATAATATGGTTCAGGTCTCTCTCTCTCTCTCTCTGCTGCTCTCTCTCTCTCTCTGACTCTCTCTCTCTCTGCTTCTCTGGCTCTCGCTCTCTCCTCTCTCTCTCTCTCTCTCTCTCTCTCTCTCTCTTTCCCTTTCCTCTTTCTTCATCTCTCTCTCTCTCTCTCTCTCTCTCTCTCTCTCTCTCTCTCTCCTCTCTCTCTCTCTCTCTCTCTTCTCTCTCTCTCTCTCTCATTCTCACCTTAATTTAAAAATAGAAATATACAGACTCAAGTGTACATCCCATGTACTCCCACTCCCCTCCCTCGCCCACTCTCTTTCCCTTTCACCGTCTCTATCTCTCTCCCTTACAGCTCCACGCTCTAAGAAAGCTCCATCAAGGCACCAAGAAGAGCCCCAAAGCTCGAATGGTCAACAATTTTCGACCGACCCAACAGATGTACCACCGGCCAGTGCGCACTAATATTGACTTCACTAACGGCAAGCATCTCAACTGTCCCTCCATGGCGAGGCAAATGTACTACACAGGTGAGTACATAGAGAGGAAGATGTACTTCATAGATGAGTACATGGACAGTAAGATGTGCTTCACGGGTGAGTACATAGCTAGGAAGATGCACTATACAGGTGAGCACATGGCTAGGCAAATGTACTACACATGTGAGTACATGGCAAGGAAGGTGAGTACATGGTCGGACACAGAGGTGAGTACATAGCGGGGAAGATGTACTACACAGGTGAGTAGGATAGAGTACATGGACAAGAGAACAAGTCACAGGAGTCCATGTACTCACAGATGAATGGAAGAGAACGTGAGAGTCCATGTACTACAAAGGTGAGGGTTAAAGGACACTTGGGAATCCATGTTCTACAAAGGTGAGGGGAAAAGAGTACATCAGAGTACAAGGGAAAAACAGATAGCCGAGGACTTGTGAGTCCACACTGAGGCTATATGTCGAGGAGAACTATATCTATATGGAGGACTTCTACGCATTAGAGAGAGATAGAGAGAGAGAGAGAGAGAGAGAGAGAGAGAGAGAGAGAGAGTAGTTACATTTTTGTGAAAGAGAGAAAGGAAGCTGGAGAAGGGCAGAAGAGTGAGAGTAATAATGAGAGTGAAGAGAGAGAGATAGAAAGAGACAGAGAGAAGGAGGCATAGTTGACAACAATAGTTTTATTAACAAATCTAATAGGAATAATAAGTGGAGGTGAGAGTAATAAATGAAGGAATAAATAAATAGATATAAGAAATAGAAAGAAAATATAGCATAAGTGATATATGATGAATATGTAATAGAAGTCAGGAAGAATTATTATTATTATTATATATTATTATTATTATATATTATATATATATATATATATATATATATATATATATATATATATATATATATATATATATATTATTATATATATATTATATATATATATATATATATATATATATATATATATATATATATATATATATATATATATATATATATATATATATATATTATAGGATGGGGTCCACCTCTGGTGTAAATTATGGGACCCACAGCCTCGGAGAAGTGGATAAAAAGGCTTCAAGGAAGAATATTTGGATTTCTTCCTGAAGCCGTTTGAATATTCCACTTCCCCTACCACCCCATCTTTTCCCAGGTACTCTATAGTCCGCTGGGTTTTGCTCTTCCTGATGAATATTACACATCCGTTATTACTACTACTACTACTACTACTACTACTACTACTACTACTACTACTACTACTACTATAACTACTGTTACTACTACTACTACTGTTACTACTACTAATTCTGTTACTACTACTACTACTACTACTGTTACAACTACTACCACTGTTACTACTACTACTACTACTGTTACTTCTACTATTAATACCATTACTACTATTACTAATACTACTGTTACTATTACTACTACTACTACTACTACTACTGTTACTTCTATTACTACCATTACTACTATTACTAATACTACTGTTACTACTACTACTACTACTACCAATACTATTGCTAATACGAATAAAATTAATAATAATAATAATAATAATAATAATAATAATAATATTTAAAGCACACACACATGTACACATACATGTACATACACACACACACATGCACATGCACATGTACACACACACGTACACACACCAGTGAAGAAAATAAAAAAATCATCATAAAGATAGGTTTAATATTTTCATTCAGAAACAAAGTGATATAAAACACGAACTTACAAGTGTCTCTCCTAAGCTTAGTACAGTAATGTTCTACCTTAGTGCTGAAAAAGAGTGCGCAAGCTTTAGCTGGGAGAAGGTATGATAAAGCTTTAATTCACGGAGAGAAGCTTTGCCTCTCAACTGATTTTGATTATTATTATTATAAAAATAAGGGAGCGCTAAACCGGTAGGGGTTATATAGCATCTGTGGGGGGGGGGAATAGAAGGTATTCAGACTCAGTTGAAGGAACTGGAGAACAGATCCAATACCATAGATCAAGAGCCTCTCGCCAGCATCAAGGGACCTCACTTGAGGGGTCAGCTGGTTTCGAACCTCGTGGGGTTTCTGAGCCGTCAGAAAAAAAAGAGTACATCGGAGTAGCGTAAGTTTGCAAGAGAGTTTAAGTGGTAAGCGTAAAGTTTACGCAAGAGTGTATCGCGTATTTCCGAATACAGACAAGGAAACAAGAGCCTGACGAGTAATTAACAGTTTTTTTTTTTCTCTCTCTCTCTCTCTGTCTCTACTACTCTTCCAGAGTACAGGAGGTACTCTCAAGAGGCCAGCTCGTACACTGTTTTTGAGGTATATTGTCATGGGTGTACTCTTAGTATTGGGAGGAATCCCGGTTCATGTACTCTTGGGTGTTCTCGAGTGCTAGAGAGAGAGACACACTCACACTGACCAGGTTTAAAGTCCCATACTTTTGCTATTTTTCTGAGTGAAAGTTCAGACATTTGAGCGAAGGATCGGATGTGCTTAGTCTTCAATTCACCCTTACGGGTTTAGTGCTCCCATGATTATAATAAAAATAATTATTATTATTAATATGACTATTATTAGTATTAATAGTGTTGTTATTGTTATTGATGATGTTGTTACGGATGTTTTCACAGGAAGCGCTAAACCCGTAGAAGCCCCGCAGGTCCTGGGGAATGGGGAGGCTTAGATCCACGGATCAAGAGCCCCCCGTTCCCCCACCCCTAGCGTCGAGGCTCCTCCTCCACCTCCTCCCTTGACGCTTCCTCGTAGCTATTCTTGATTCTCTTCCTTCCTCTTCACGTCTTCTGTTCCATACATCTCGCTTCACATATCCTCTTCCCTTCCCCTCTTACCCTTATTACATGGTTTTGCAGCTGCTCGTCTTCCGCCTGAGGGTCTTAAAGTGGAAGGTTCCTCTCGAGGGCCTTCCGAACTCCTCCCCCTCTCTTATTGCATTCACGGGGAAGTGCTAAGACCGTAGGGGACGGGTCAGACAGCGCCTGGGGAAGGAAAGACAATTAGGGTTCGGTAAGATGCATGAACAAAACTCTAGTACCGTTATTTTTGGGAACGTTTCGCCTACACAGTCGGCTTCTTCAGTCAGATACATTGGTGACTGAAACTGGAAGCAACAAAAGCAGTGGAGAGGTAAACTTAATGTGATCAGTCCGTCAGCCTTGAGAACGTAAGTTTGAAGAGATGTCAGTCCCTAAGCCTGGAAGAAATACTGAGATGGTTAGCTCCCTTAGCCTTCAATTAAAAGCGTCCAGCTCCATGATCCCCACCAGGTTTGACCCGAGCAAGGGAAGTGCGGCTACTTTTCACTGGATCAAGAGCCGTACATTAGTATTCAAGGCAAACCCTATCAAAGGACGCTAAGCCTTAGATCACATCCTCGGGAAACGTTCCTGGGGCCGATGCTAACGAAACCTTTGTTTACATACCCTGACAGCCTCCGTCTAAACTCGCCGACGAGATGCCGATAATACTTCCCGTTGCCGCCACGAAAAGTAATTTGTCTTTTAGTATGGTTTCATTACACAGATGGAGTAAATGAACTTCAAGCTACTTGCCAGAAAGAAGGAAAGGAGGAATACCCGTCAGAGACATAAGAATGGAACCATGATTGTAACCTTAACGGACGCCTCCAGCCATTACTTAATATATACACGATGTACATGTCGTTCCGAATAGGTACAACTTGCAATTTTGGTTTAAATAGCAAAGCTCTTCTTCCCGAATAAAGCAAGAGAAAATTTGTGTATGCACAAGTTTCGCAAAAAAAAAAATAATTTTGAACCTAACGAAAAAAAATATATTGCATTGTGTTTGTTTATTATTAAATTTTGTAAACGTATCTTAAACATATTTAGTTGAATTAGACTAAATTAAATTGTGCTTGTTATAAAAAGGTTAGGTAAGTTTTCTAAGGTCCTTTGTCACAAAATTATTAATTTTTACATTAACATAAATGAAAAAAAAATCTTTAAACGTATAAAAGAAAATTTTAGAAAAGTCTTTAATTTCAATGAGTTCTTGTTAATTGACCAGTTCACCTATTCGGCCCGTATGTTATGTTTATATTATATATATATATATATATATATATATATATATATATATATATTATATATATATATTATATATATAATATATATATATATATATATATATATATATATATTATATATATATATATATATATATATATATATATATATATATACGTGTGTTAGAAGTTGAGAATGTTTTACTTCTGAAGTGGTGTAACAAAAGGCAGGCTGGAGGAGTGTGTTAGTAAGTTAGGTCCACTGGGAAGGATGTTCGTGTTCTCGGGGTTAGAGCCGAGACCAAACTTAATGGACTTGCCACGGAAAAATACCCCCCGGATTACACTAGTTTAAAAGCAAAGTTTGATATCGGGGTGGAGTCTCTATTTTTACCGTGCGTTCACCTGTGTTAAATCACCAGCCGGAAGTCTTAGGTGCGGAGGAAAAGTCTTAAGCAATGAGACTTGGTAGACCAGGTGTAAAAGACCTGAAATTTTGATTTTTTTTTTTTGCTTCAGCCAGCCTAAATTATGATATTTTTAAACCAGCCTATGTTAAATTCCCTTCTGCCGTAGCTCACTCAATTCACACACCGAGGTCCATGGTTCGATCCCAGATACGGGTGGTAACATTAGGACGTGTTTCCTTAAGACACCTGCTGTCAATGTTCACCTAGTGGTAATTTAATTAGGTACCTGGGTGTTAGTCGACTGGTGTGGGTGGCATGCTGGGGACAAAATTGACCTAATTTGCTGGATATGCTCAGCATAACAAGCGGCTTTCTATATAGTGGTATATCACTGATGTTAGATAGGCCTGTATACCTTGTACATGTACTTGTAGAAATAATGATTAATATTATTTTATTATTATTATTAATAATAATAATAATAATAATAATAATAATAATATTATTATTATTATTATTATTATTATTATTATTATTATTATTATTATTATTATTATTATTATTATTATTATTGACATTATTATTATTATTATTATTATTATTATTATTATTATTATTATTATTATTATTATTATTATTATTATTATTATTATTACTATTATTATTATCATTAAGGTGGGACACCTGTAACACTCACCTGAGAGAAGTAACTCTACGGCTGTCCTCTCTGCAGTTGTATCACGAATTAACTGTGAAAGTCGAAATATGTAATATATAATAATATAATAATATATAATAATAATAATATATAATATATAATAATAATAATAATATATATAATATAATAATAATATATATATAATAATAATATATATTAATATAATATATATAATAATAATATATAATAATAATAATAATAATATATAATATATATAATATATAGTGTTTGAGGAATGTTTTACTTAAGTTTTAACAAAAGATGTGAAGTATTAAAAAGTTATGGTCAACTGTGAAGAGTTTTTTGTTTTACGAGGACTTAAGCTGCCAGGCATTATTATCCCCCCGGATTGCGTACACTTTTAGGTTTATATCGTTTGTCAGTTACGTAAGTTTTTACTCTGTCACTGGGAAAGCTCCAGCGACAAGTTTGTGCGGCACAGTTTAGCTCATGTGAGACTTTATGTCATGTTACAGGAGAGCTTATAAGTCATGTTACATTGTTGATTTTCAATTATTTTTTGTACTTTATCAGTCTATTTCCCCTGTTAGAGCTTTATCATATATTTCTCGTAGGCTTTTAAGATATTCCCTCTGTGTAGAGCTTTACAAGTCAATTTCACCTCGGGTAGAGCTTTATCCAAGTATATTCTGTGTAGAGCTTTATCAAGTATATTTTCCTTGAAGAGCTATCTGTCATATTTCCCTTGGTAGAGCTTTATTAGTATATCCTGTGTAGGCTTTATCAAGTACGTTCTTGGTGAGCTTGATCAAGTCTGTTTCGCTGATGTAGGGCTATTATCAAGCATTTTCCTTTATGTAAGTTTAATAGGTCTGTTTCCTCTTGTAAGCTTTATAAGTCAATTTCCCTCTTGTAAGCTTATTCAAGTATATTTCCTCTAGTAGCTTTATCAAGTATGTTTCTTATTAAGTTTATTATTATTATCTCCTTGTAGACTTTATCAAGTCATATTTCTTATGTAACTTTATCAAGTCATGTTTCCCTTATTACTTTATCTATTATTATTTTCATTATGTAGAGCTTTATAGTATTATTATCCCTCTATGTAGAGCTTATCAAGTCATGTTTCCTCTAGTAGAGCTTATCAAGTCATGTTTCCTTCTTGTAAGTTTATCAAGTCATATTTCCTTATGTAAGCTTTATAAGTCATGTTTCCCTATGTAGAGTTAATCAATAAATGTTTCCTTCTATGTAAGTTTATCAAGTATGTTTCCTCTATAGTAACTTTATCAATCATGTTTACTTATATGTAGGGCTATTAATCAAGTCATTTCCCTATATGTAGAGTTTATCAAGATATTTCTCTTGTAGAGCTTTATCAAGTCATATTTCCTCTACTAGAGTTTATCAAGTCATGTTCCCTCATGTAGAGCTTTTTCATGTCATATTTCCTATGTAGAGCTTTCAAGTCATGTTCCCTATGTAGACTTTATCAGTCATGTTTCCCCTCTAGTGAGCTTTATCAAGTCATATTCCTTATGAGGTTTATCAATCAGTTCCCCTTGTAGTATCAGTCATGTTCTTCTATGTAGACTTATCAGTCATTTTCCTTAGTAGAGCTTTACAGTCATGTTTCCTTTATGTAGCTTATCAGTATGTTTCTCTTTAGGCTTTATAGTCTGTTCCTTATGTAGAGCTTTATCAAGTCATGTTTCTCTATTAGCTTTATCAGTCATGTTTCTTTATGTAGAGCTTTATCAAGTCATGTTTCCCTCATGTGTAGAGCTTTATCAAGTCATGTTTCTTCTATGTAGACTTTATCAAGTCATGTTTCCACTTGTAGAGCTTTATCAAGTCATATTTCCTTCTAGTAGAGCTTTATCAAGTCATGTTTCCCTCTATGAAGAGCTTTATCAAGTCATATTCCCCTATGTAGAGCTTTATCAAGTCATGTTTCCTTCTATGTAGAGCTTTATCAAGTCATGTTTCCCTCTATGTAGAGCTTTATCAAGTCATATTTCCTTCTATGTAGAGCTTTATCAAGTCATGTTTCCCTCTATGAAGAGCTTTATCAAGTCATGTTTCCCTCTATGAAGAGCTTTATCAAGTCATTTTCCCTCTATGTAGAGCTTTATCAAGTCAATGTTTCCCTCTATGAAGAGCTTTATCAAGTCATGTTTCCCTCTATGAAGAGCTTTATCAAGTCATGTTTCCCTCTATGAAGAGCTTTATCAAGTCATGTTTCCCTCTATGAAGAGCTTTATCAAGTCATGTTTCCCTCTATGAAGAGCTTTATCAAGTCATGTTTCCCTCTATGTAGAGCTTTATCAAGTCATGTTTCCCTCTATGTAGAGCTTTATCAAGTCATATTTCCCTCTATGTAGAGCTTTATCAAGTCATGTTTCCTTCTCTGTAGAGCTTTATCAAGTCATGTTTCCCTCTATGTAGAGCTTTATCAAGTCATGTTTCCTTCTATGTAGAACTTTATCAAGTCATGTTTCCCTCTATGTAGAGCTTTATCAAGTCATGTTTCCTTCTATGTAGAGCTTTATCAAGTCATGTTTCCCTCTATGAAGAACTTTATCAAGTCATGTTTCCCTCTATGTAGAACTTTATCAAGTCATGTTTCCTTCTATGTAGAGCTTTATCAAGTCATGTTTCCCTCTATGTAGAGCTTTATCAAGTCATATTTCCCTCTATGTAGAGCTTTATCAAGTCATGTTTCCCTCTATGTAGAGCTTTATCAAGTCATGTTTCCTCTATGTAGAGCTTTATCAAGTCATGTTTCCCTCTATGTAGAGCTTTATCAAGTCATATTTCCTTCTATGTAGAGCTTTATCAAGTCATGTTTCCCTCTATGAAGAGCTTTATCAAGTCATGTTTCCCTCTATGAAGAGCTTTATCAAGTCATGTTTCCCTCTATGTAGAGCTTTATCAAGTCATGTTTCCCTCTATGAAGAGCTTTATCAAGTCATGTTTCCCTCTATGAGAGCTTTATCAAGTCATGTTTCCCTCTATGTAGAGCTTTATCAAGTCATGTTTCCCTCTATGAAGAGCTTTATCAAGTCATGTTTCCCTCTATGTAGAGCTTTATCAAGTCATGTTTCCCTCTGTTTACATTTATTAAGATATAATAAGCAGTAGACACAAACACAGTCAGGTGGAGGATATTGAGAAGAGTTTCGATTTGAGGAGAACTTACATAATCAATTTGTGATTTGATAAAGCCCACAGTGTGGGCGAAACGTTGTCAGTAAAGGATCGCATTATACGGTATTGGTGTCAGTTTCCTCCCCCCCATGATGGTCTACAGAGGGCGAAATGAACTGCGACATTTCTCCGCTTGTGTGTGTGACGCTACACACCTGATCCTCTGAACTGTTATCGCTGTAACAACGAAGAAGCGATCTGCAGTCATTGAGAGCATTGGATCCCATTTATTTGCTCCCGGGTTGGAGAAAAGGCCATTAAAGA